ATAACAAATATAAAACATGTTAGTATCAAACATTAAAGTCCATATTAAGTTTACATTATACTTATTCTTACACCATTAGTGTAACCTTTTCACCTTGACATAATTAACTTAGCTAGACATAATGAAAGAAAGCAAAATAGATAAACAAAATAAGAACATAAAAGTTAACTAAGTAAAGGAAAGGAAATGAAAGGCATAAACTTAATATTAATGAAAACAAAGCATAAAAAATACAAAGAGAGAAAGGAAGAGCATGATCTTGATCTGGAAATCAAGATGCCTAAATGCATGGCAAATGCCTCCTTTTATAGGCCAAAAATGGGAACTATTGATTTGATGACTAATTGATAAGTGGGTGACCAACTTTTGACTTGGTGACAATCCTTATCTTCTCTTGTCTGCCCAAAACGTCATTGATAACGTCAAAATTGGAGCCAGTTGTAAACATGAAAGTTGTAGGCAATTGTCTCAGCTTTCTTGTGTAAAAACTTCAGCTCATTTGGACTTCTAGAACTCCAGATATGGCCAAAATACCGAACAGTGCTCGGGCTGGAAGACAGATTCGGGCTTCTTTGTTGTTGCTACAATTTGGACTTGATAATGGCCTTTTTAGATCTTGGGCTCCATATGAAAGTTGTAGGCCTATGTCTTACCTTTCCATCCATATAAATTGGACCTAAATCTGAGATCTGTAGCTCCAGATATGACCCAATTACCGAACAGTGTTCCGGTTTGGATTGCACCGACATCTCTTCTCTAAGTTTGACCATCTCTTTATCCATGCAATTTAAGTTCTTCAAGTCATCAATCAATCCTTTCATTTATGTGATAGGCCTGCATTTAAAATGAACATTTACCATAAATTAAAGTTATCTTATATTATTAGATATATTATTATAAAATATGCTTTGGTTAAGGAGTTATTGATACTTCAAGTGCAAAATGATGATATAAAACCATGATAAAAATGCACTTTTAAGTACTAATCAATCTACATAAGTCATAAAATAGATAATTAACTCTCTAGGCATAACAATCTCTCTTCTAAATAGAAATTTAGAAGATTTCTCACTAGTGGTTCGTGTGGATTACTACTGAAAATTGAACAATTAGACAACTTATGATTTATAACAACCCAACCTTTAAAGAATTATTCAAAGCTGAAGAATATCAAATCTTCAAGTAATAAATCCCTAAACAACTCTAGATTTATTTAACAGGATCATAGGGATTTTCATATAATTTTATTTTATTATTTCTATTGCGTGTATGATATTCAAAAATCTAATAGTGGTATCAAAGCTTTTGTTAGACAATTAGGGTTGTTGATTGGATGCTTTAATTGTTATTGACATTATTGGGAATTAAATTTGTGTGCAAATGTATTTTTCTCAAAAGTATTTTTTTTCTCTCATTATTTTTTTTAAATACTTTTTGGTTACTATTACGGCCAAATCTAACTGAAATTCACCACTAATTAAAAAAAGGTTTTCTTGGTTATGTACCACCACCGAAGGTGCTAGCACAACTATCATGCTTGATACCCCAAGCTAGGTCATCATTGGTAGCAACCATGACTATTGCCCTACCATAGTAGCTCTAGTATATGTAACGCTGCTACCTTCTAATGCAAGCTGCCTCACGCTGGAGGCAACGACCTAAGCCACCAAGCACAAGGCTTCTACTCTCACTGAAAGTGGCGCAACATAAGGGCAATCCATGTGGTTGTACTTTAGATTTTGTCTTTCTACATGCAATGTATTATTCACATATTCGTTGTAATCTTTTTTCATTTTTGGCCTATAAAAATATTCATGCAATACATGTAAAGTTTTTGCAACCCTAAAATGACCCATAAAACAACTCTTATGTCCTTTATGAATAAGCAATTCTCACAAAGAACTAGTAAGAACACATAATTGATTCTCTTTGAACAAGTAATCATTCATGAAATAAAACTTACCGAAAGCTGAATGACCATATGTATTATATATTTCGGCAAAGTCAGAATCATTAGCATACAATGCCTTTATATATTCAAAGCCTAGCAATCTAGTACTCATAGTGTTTAGAACAACCTACCTGCATGAAAGTGCATCAACCACTATGTTCTTTTTGCCTTGCTTATACTTGATTACATAAAGAAAAGTCTCAATTAATTCAACCCATTTTGCATGTCTCTTATTCAACTTACCTTGTCCTTTTATATGTTTCAAGGATTCATAGTCTGGGTTTTTTATTTTGATTTTCCATATAATTATCATCACACTCACTGACTTTCTTCACTCTTGTTTTACCTCCACTCTCTACTAGATTTGGATGTTTTTAGGTAGTGGCTGAATGGTATGATTTATTTAGAGTGTTGGCTAAATGTTTGTTTGTGTTTGGATAGGTGGCTGAATAGGTTGTAGTGGTGTTTTGGGTTCTGACAAAATTTGATAGTCCTCTTTTCTCTTGTTCTTTACCTTGATTTTCTCTCCTCATAGCTCATGCTCACTTTTTAGCTTTATTTGATCATTATACACCTATTTAGATGTAAGAGATACAAAAGTGATGGTTTTATCATTTTTTACAATGGTATACCTATTTTTAACCCCATCATGAATTAGCTTCCTATCACATTATCATGGTCTCCCTAATAAGAAGTGATTTGTTTGCATTGGTACAACATCATATAAAACTTCATTAACATACTTTCCAATAAAAAATAGAACCAAAACCTATTTAGTCACTTTTACTTCATCATTATCATTCAACCATTGCAATCTATAAAGTCTACTATACTTAATAGTACACAAATTCAGTTTACTAACAATGATAATACTAGTCATATTAGCACAAATTTCATTATTTATAATTAAACTTCACATATTATCTTATACATAGCAGTGTGTATATAAGATGTTTTCCATTTGTTGATCACTTTCATCTTCTTTGATCTGAACCTAAAGTGCACGCTTTATAACTAAGAACTCCTTAATGGGTAATGTCAATTCATCCAAATTACAATCCTTCAATTATAGCATGTATTCATAATCTAATTTGTCACTCTTGGATTCCATATCACCATTGTCTCCACCATTATCATCTTATTTGGACACTCTAAAATGTAATATCCAAGCCCCTAACACTTGAAACATTTAACATCACAAGTATGTTTAAGTTGAGTGCCATATTTACCTTTGAAACTTGTAAAGACTTCAACCTTAGCTTTTTGTGGTTCAACTTTGGTAGGGATAAAAGGTTTTGGTTAGGCAGCCCTATCTTTCTTTAAATTCAACTTCGATGATGATGAAGAACCTGAATTGAATGCTGACCGAACATGTCCCTTCCTTCTGAGTTATCTCTCCACTTTCGTAGCCATATGAACCATGTCCTTTACCTCTATATAGTGTTGTCACTTAAAAATATTAGATATCTCTCTATTCAACCTATTAAGAAACCTAGTCATAGTAGCTTCCCTATCTGTAATCACATTAGCCCTCTTCATTGCAATCTTCATCTCCTTATGGTAATCTTTCACACTTTTTAAAACTTGATATAAACTTTATAATTTTTGAAAAAACTCTGATTAGTATTTAAAATTGCATTTTTATTAAGGTTTTATATCATCATTTTGCACTTGAAGTATCACTAACTTAACTAAAGCATGTTTTATAATAACATATCTAATAATATAAGATACCTTTAATTTATGGTAAATGTTCATCTTAAATGCAAACCTATCACATAAATGAAAGGATTGATTGATGAGTTTAAGTACTAAAATTGAAAAGACAAAGAGAGGGCCAAACTTAGAAAGAAAATGCTAGTGCAGTCCAAACTGAAATATTGTTCAGTAATTAGATCATATTTGAAGCTGTAGATCTTGGATTTAGATCCATTTTATATGGATGGAAAGGTAAAACAAAGGCCTATAATTTTCATAAGGAGTCTAAATTTAAAAAGGTTGTTTTCAAGTCCAAATTGTAGCAACAACGAAGAAGTTCTAATTTGTCCTGCAGCCCAAACACTGTTTAGTGTTTAACCTATTTTTTTTCCTGGAAAGTTAAGACAATTTCCTAGAACTTTCATGGGTACAAGTGGTTCTAATTCGGACATTATCAATGATGTTTTATTTAGACAAGAAGATAAGGATTGTCACCAAGTCAAGATATGGCCACCCACTCATCAATTATTTATCAAATCAATAGTTCTAAATTTTGGCCTATAAAAAAAGGTATTTGTCATGCATTTAGGCATCTTAGTTTTCAGAT